GAACCTGATGCAGTCTTCCGAGCTGGGAAGAGTACTGGCCAGTTCCTCCTCTTCCTAGTCCTTGCTCCGCCACCTCTTCTTTTTGCCTGTTTTCTCCTGATGAGCTCTCATCGCTGGACAAAAACTCTTTGCTCTTGAAGCTCTTGCTGAGCTGCCTCGATGAGGACTTGGACGATGAACTCCTAGAAGGTGTTGATTTCTTTTCCACTTTTACCTTTTCTTTCTTCTTTTTTGACTTGTCCCTCTTCGAGGACTCCCCCTGGACCCATTTGCGTTCCTTCATGGCTTTCTTGTACTCCGTCCTGGCATTCTCAGCCTTGCGGTCCTACTCCTCTTTCTTCTCCTTGGACATCCCCTTCCAAATCTCGCTCGCCTTCTTGGAGAGATTGGTGATGCTGATGCTGGGATGGTCTGACTTGATCTTCTCCTGGCTGGCATTGAGCTACAGCATGTAGGCAGACATGGGCCTCTTGGGGGCATTGGGGTCTTTGCGCTTCTTTGCCTCCACAGGCGTCTTCCGGCTCTTGCGCTCTTTGGCCATCTTGGCCTTCTTGAGCTGCTTCCGCTTCTCATCCCAGTCACTGTCACCCTCGTTGCTGGAGGAGCTGGCAGAAGCATTGCTGTCAAACTCTTCAGCCACATCTTCCTCCTCTTCACCGGGGTTGAATGACTCATCGGTTTCCTCTCCGAAATCGTCTCTGCTGTCATTGGCATTCTCCTCTCAGATCTTGCCTCCTTCCTTCATCCACTCCAGGTAGACATCGTGCTGGTCGTCATCCGAGTCAGCGTATTAGTCGTAGCTTCAGTACATGCCCTCTTTCAAGCCTCGGATCTTAATGTTGAGCTTCTTTGCATTGACAAAAAACAGCTTCCCATATTCCTCCCTCTCGATGCTGCTGAAGATATACTGAGTGCCCTGCTTGGTCTCAATCTCAAAGTCAAAGGAACATGTGGTGGTGGTGCCACGGGCAAAGTTGACGAAGGAGATCTCGTCGAAGCGGATGTGCATGGGGGCTTGTGCACGTAGATGAAGCCCCTCTCCAGAGGATACAGCAGCCCCGAGCTGGCCTTGTAGGAACAGGTGATGCACTGGGCCCCCGAGTGCCCTTGGAAGTTGCCTGGAACTGTGATCTTGCGGTTCACCAGGGCTTTCATGACTCGGCTGACCATCTCGTAGAGGGATCCAGACATGTTCTTGGTAAGCCACCCCTCAAAGCACTTCTCCACTTCTTCCTCATTCATGTTGAGAGTCAAGGAGATGTCCTCGTCCTTGGAGAAGAGCAGGATCAGGAAGTGGTAGCGCGTCTGGCCCTGCTTGATGGGAGGATCCAGGGAGATCACAAAGAGCATCTTTCGCTGGTCCTTGTGGGACAGCAGGAAGAGACGGAGGACTGTCTTATAGGAAATCTTACAGTCAAAGGTCTTGCCGTGCAGATGAAGGAAGGTGGGGTAGATCCGAATTTTGTAGTGGCTACGCGAGTGAGACACTGCAGCTCCTGGAAGATGCAGATGGTGTCTCCAGGGCCTGGATCACATCGGCCTTGGATAGCACGTTCTGTGCAAAGGTTTCCACGGGGTCCACGCCGTCCTTCTGAGTGGGAGGCATGTAGAAGCACACCTCCATGAGGGAGACCTCTGCGTCATTGTTCTGGTGGAACTACAGGGTCACCTCGTTCTTGCCCGTGGTGCACAGGGACACGTTGCTGAGGGGTATCTCAAAGGCCGGCTGATCGCCAATGTCAAAGGAAAGCAGCTGCCCGCCAGACTTCATCATTCCCCAGTTCCAGCCCTTCACACAGAGGTCCTTCTCCATTAGTTCAAGGCGATAGTGAGTTTTAAAGAAATCGGACAGTTTCTCAAACTCTGACTCTCAAAAGCCATCGTACTTGTAGACATGGCCCTTCTTGGTGAACAGTTTAAGTCCGTGGCCCAGGGCAACCCGGCGCCAGATGCCTTCGGTCAGCTCCCCTTTGCTGTCCACTTTGCCCATCTTGCTGTTCTTGAAGTTGATGACCTGGCCGCTTAACCTCGTTCGACCATCATTCATGGAACCTTTCGCCTCCTGATAGACATCGTTGAACTCCAGCGTCTCTGCCATGCCGACCTGGTCCCTGGTGGCCAGGCCTGGAGCCCTGGCGTGCACAAGGGGAACGGGAAAACAAGGAGCTGGGCCCTTAACTCCTCCGCAGTTGTGCAGATGCTCGGGAGGCTAAGAACCTCACGCTGCAGCCTCATGGGTGTGGGGGTGGTGGGTGCGCTGGGGGAGACACGGGGGCGGGTATGGGGGAAAACGCAGGGGAAGCTTTTTCCCGCGTGCGCGGCCCCGCGGCCCCTACCCAGTTCTGGTCTCAAGACAAAGTTGGCCTTGGCATTCAGGGAGGCAGTTAGCTACACATTGGGTTATTTAAGGGCATTATAATTTCTTTCTTACTTTGTCTTTATCTGTCAGACATTCTGAATTGCATTGAACTAGTTTTTAAGTTTATACTTTAGCTTTTGTGTTTTTAATTTCCAAAGGCTTTGCTATTTTCTGATTTATCATCTTTAAAAAAAATTGCTTTCTATATACATATACTAAAGGCATAGCTCTTACTTTATCCTCTGTCATTTTCTCAGATGTGCTTCTTGGCTGAGATGCTGAAAATTGATGGAAAGGCTTTGTATAGCAGGCCACTACAAATGGGGTTTGCACTATAGGGGAATCCTGTAGAGGTTGGAAGCAGGAAATCACCCTGGTACTCCAGCCTTTTTTCTAGCTTCTCTGGAAAAGAATTTAAAAGATAGGCAGTCTACTCTTTGCAACCTCAGAAACCCCATGGCAGGTCACCAGCAGTTGGAATCTGCTCACTAGTTACAGGTTGGATTGGGTTTGGTACAGGCTGGGAGGTACTTGTGGATGGGTTGTGGGAGGCTGGAGTGTAGGGTGCACCTGGTGAGGCACTATTTTCTCATACACCTTCTGACAGTCTTACCCCCATTTTGTGTCTTCATATACCTGATGTGCTGATACTTAGTTATAGCTACACTCTGGGACCTATATATTTTTTTAAATTATACTGATTTATTTGCAAAGTTCATATACATTGTTTTTCACACCGGATCTTTCCCATTTGCTTTACCCACCTCTTCCACCACCCATCAAATTGTACAACCTTATGATTAACCACTCTTGCCTCCGCCCATCCTCACCCCTCACTGTCCCTCTTCCCCTCTGGGATCCTCGTAACACGTTCTACATTATGGTTATAATGGTACAACAATAATTATACAATATTTGTCCTTATGAGACTGAGTGAGTTTACTTAGCATAATGCTCTCAAGTCCCTCCCAAGTTAGGTAGTAATTTACAAAATCATTGCTCCTGAGTGCTGTGTAGTATTCCATCGTGTGTATATTCCATAATTTTACAGTCCATTCAATGTGGTCAGGCATTTGGGCTGTTTACATGCTCTTATGAACATTGGTGTACAAGTCTCCATTTGTGCCTCAGTTCTCATTCTCATGGGTATATTCCAAGCAGTGGAATAGCTGGGTCATATGGAATTTCTATGCGCAGCTTTTTTAAGGAAACGTCAGACTGCCTTCCATAGTGGTTGTACCATTTTACAATCCTACCAGCAGTGTATAAGAGTTCCTCTCTCTTCACATCCTCTCCAACATTTATTACTTGCTGTCCTGTTAAACTTTGCCATTGCTACTGGAGTGAGATGCTACCTCATTGTGGTTTTGATATGTGTCTGTCTAATTGACAGTGATTTTGAGCATTTCTTCATGTGTCTGTTGGCATCAAAATATCTTCCTTTATGAACAGTCTTTTCAAGTCTTGTGCCCATTTTGTAATTGTGTTATCAGTCTTTTTTTCTGCGGAGGCCCTGTAGGGTTCTGTAAATGTTGGATATGAGACCCTTGTCTGAAATGGTATTGCCAAATGTTTTCCCCCAGTCAGTAAGTTTTCTTTTCACTCTGTTGGGAAAAGTTTTTGATGCACACAGGGATTTAATTTTCAGAACATGGGACCTATTTTTGTCATCATTGGATTCACTGCCCTTTAGTCTCTCAGATGTTCCCCACATGCATCCAGTCCATGCTCTGAAATGGCATGGTTCAACCTTTTCCTGTGTTCACTTGGTCTGTAATTGGCCCACTGACTATCCAGCTGCCCAAAAGAGAAGCCTGGGAGCTACCAGTCCATGGTGACAAACTGCTGTCACCCCCAGTGATATGGCCACCTGGAATGCAGATTGGGCTCAACCAGAAGAGCCCACAGTCAGGTTTTTGTTTTGCCTTGCAGAGAGAAGGGTAGTGATGTGACCCCCTAACTGCTTGTTCATCCCCTGGCCACCAAGACCAGCTAGCTGTGCCACAGAAGAGCCCAGTCTGCTGCGTCCTTCACCGCTGACAGAGCTGGCCTCCTCACTCTATCCCATCCCCATCCTCACCCCTGCCAGAGTCGTCTTCCTGAGTGAGGCCCAGGCTGGGCCTGCTGCAGCAGGATGGAGATCCTGTTCCCCAATATGGACTACCTCTCTGCCTCCTCTCAGCACAGGGAGCACCAGTAACCTCACTCCCTACCTGTGCTGCCATCTGGCTAGAGGGCATGGCTCCTCCTTCCAGTTGGCTGCTGGTTGCCATCTCAGCCCTGGGCTGTCTCCTCCGATTGCTTTCAGACTCCTGGGGCAGTTGTCATTGCCTGTCATATCTGGATTCTTGGTGTTGGCCTACGGTGTCAGGGTCAGCTTGCCCATGACCCCATCCATTTCCAGCCTTGGGATTGGTGTGGTGGCTCAGCATGCTCTTAGCTGGTATAAGAGCAGGGAAGAGAAGTCTGTGGTCCTGAGGGAGAGCCTCTGTGTGCTTCATGCAGGCAGCCCCCTTGGAGGGTCCTGGCACCATGCTGGCACACACATGCTGGGAGGTCTGGTGGTGTTAAATGTGGGGTGACCAGTACCCTGTTCTTTTTTTGCATGGTATCTCCCCCAGACTCCCTGAGGAGGGTGCAGATGCAGCGGTGACAGGCTTCTTCCTTGAGTGTGACATCTCTGTCGTGGGCACATTGCGGAAGCACCTTATGCTCTACCGGATCCGGCGGAAGGTGGAGGTGGAGCCCTGCCCGGAGCTGGACGTGTGGGCCATACTGCCTAGCACTCCCGAGGCCCAGGGGTCCCAGACCCTGCAGGAGAAGGCAGAGGGAGCCACGATCCTTGTCGCTGATCCCAGGACAGCTTGCATGGGCTGGCGGCTCCTTACTCCAAGGGAGAACTCTGCCCTGCACCTAGTGCCTGGCAGCTGCCATGGAGACCTCAGGGATTATCACAAGCACCGGTACCGGCAAGGTAATTCACTCACTGGGCAGCAGGGAAGCCAGGCCACCAGCATGGGGAGGGTTTGGAAAATAGGCTGGCAGTGGTCTGGAGAGCAAAAAGGTGCACACAGGATGTGGCTTGTGATGTGACAGCATCAGAGGTGCTTCACTGGTATGTCCCTTCCCAGCTGTACGTGGAGGCCCCTCAGGGGGTGCAGAATGATGAGTCCTTTGGAAGAGCCCAACATGTCTAGGCGGAGAAGAATCAGGAACTGACTGGGGAGGGCATGTGATGCATGGGGTCATGCAGGTGTCATGTGCGCTGGTGCAGGAAGGGCTGGCTCACTGGGAGGGGGCACCAGAGAAGGCCGGCCCTTTCACTGGCTTGGCTGTCCTGGCAGCTTGCTGGAAGCTTTCTGAGTCACTGCCACCTCAGCTCTGACTGAATTCCTCTTTCCCATCTCAACAGGCATTCCAGAGGGAATACGAGACCTCCCCCCGGGAGTGGCTCTGCCTTTGGAATCCAACCTGGCCTTCATGAACGGAGTCAGCTTCACCAAGGGCTGCTACATCGGCCAGGAGCTGACTGCCCGCACCCACCACATGGGTGTCATTCGCAAGCGCCTCTTCCCTGTGCAGTTAAGTGGCTCACTCCCAGCAGCTACCATAGAACCGGGTACCTCCATCCTCACTGAGTCAGGAAAGGCAGCCGGGAAGTTCAGGGCCAGTGAGGGCAACGTGGGACTGGCCCTGCTGCAGACTGAGAAAATTAAGGGTCCTCTTCACATCAAAACTTCTGAAAATGGTCATGTGGCCTTAACTGCTTCAGTGCCAGACTGGTGGCCTAAAGCCAGTAAGTAACTGTGGATGACTTTCTCTCACGTTGCCTGGGCTGAGCTACCTGTGGTACCGGCCTGTGGAGCTCCTCCACTTGTTTGCTGTGTCCTTTGCTGCTCAACTGGTGTTCCAGGGCCTCACTGTCTCTACATCGTGGCCTTGCTGATGGAATCTTGGGATAAGGGTGCAGCCAGCTAGCCAGAATATTTTAAAAGGGACTCCTGTGAGCACCCCCTCCTTGGGAAGTTCCTGCGTGTGGCCACCTCATGGGGTTACAGGCTTGGAGGCCTTGGCTAGGGAGTATGGCCCTTTTCTCCTCTGGCTCAGGAGAAGTAGTAGGACGCCTTGTGGTCAGAAAGTGAGGCTGTTGTGCTGATCTGAGCCCTTGCAGACCCAGGACAAAGTTGCAGAGAGATCAAAAGGCCCTGTGCCTAACAAGCCCAGGAACTTCATGCTTGGAGCTGGCACCAAGGAAGTAGCCTCTGCATCTCCAGCACCCACTTCTGACCTACTCAGAAACTAGCCGTGGATTGGAGCAGGCTCTGGAATGCTGAGACCATGGGCCATGTCTGTGGTTGGTAATTTCCAGGGTGAGAGATTTTGGTAGTTGCTTGGCCATGCTTTTCTCTAGAGCAGATCTCAAGAGTGCGTGTCCAAACGTTGGGTCTCTTGAGGTAGTTGAGTGTGCATGTGGACACCCACACAACTACATGTGCCCACTTAACACACACACTGGTACACATCCACACCCATCGATCATACACAGCTATATCCATACACCTATCCATACCATGGACACACACACAGGAACCTGTGCTCATCCATCCGTACACATTTTACACATACACCCATATATGTACACATACAGGCACACACACCTGCACTCACACATGTATACCTGTTTACACCCTCCTATGCACACACACATTCATTGGGACATACTGGTACACTCATACACACACACATAGCTATGTATGCACACCAGTTTACAGACACATAGTACAAATGTCTACTTGCTCACGTGCACACACCAGTAAACATGTGCACACGCACACCCCCACACACTGATAAATACATAAGAAGCTACACATATACACAGCTGTGCACATACACTTAATACATGCACACCAGTTCATGGGCACACACCAGGATACTGACACATCTCTGTACACTTAACAGTAGATACACATGCATATACACCGGCGCATGCACAGCAGACACACACGGGTAGATACACCTACACAAGTATACTGTTGCATGCACTCACCTACACCCTTTGGAACAAATCCCGTGGGCCAGGCTGTCCTTTCTTGAGGTATAACTTTAAAAGTGATCCAGTTAGCTTCTGTACTGACCGGTACTGGTGAATTCTCAGATGTACTTCACATAGAGAAAAAATGTTGTTGCATTGGCCACCCATGTCCCTCAGCATTTGTGTGAAGAACCTGGAGGTTAGAATTCGCACTTGGCATGGCCTCTGTAGCCTCCTGCCTGAGCTCTGTGGTGAGTGGGGGTAAGGAGGGCTCGCTGCCTCTGACACAGGGGCCACCATATTCTGAGACCAGGAAGCTATCTCCCCAGCAAAGTCTTCTTAAGACTTCTGATTTATTTATTTACTTTATTTACAGCAAGAGAAATAAAGATATGCTGCAAAATGATGGGGATTGTTTTATTTTTTCCCCTTTTAAACCACTAACTTGCACTGCCCTATTGTAATGTGAATTTCCTGGTTGTGATGTGTGTCTCAACTGCTGCGTCTTGAGTGCCTATTAAAGAGTAATCTGGAAGCAGTCAACTTGGAACTTTGCCTTTATTTTGAGTAGGGGTGGCTGGGTCTTTGTTTTGGGGAGCAAGGTGGACTAGATACAACAAAACATCTGAACACACCAGGTGCAGTGTTTCAGCAAAGAAGGTCAGGTGTCTTGCTGGACTGACCAGAAGGGACTCAGACCTCAAAAGGTCAAGCAAAAGTCTAGGTGTCTCTCACCTTTGTCTTCTTGCTTCCTTATTTTTTTGCCTCTCATCAGTTTTCTTTTATTGAAGAGTGATATAAAGGTAGATTTAACTAGGAGTGCTTTGTGTTCACAGTCATTGCAGAAGTATATCTGATATTGGATGGGTTAAGAAACAACACCCAAACCCACTGTTGTTGAGCCAGTTGTACCTCACAGTGAACTGACTCAGTAACAGTGCTTCTGGGACCTTGGAAACTCGGTCTTTTGTGTTTCTGAGGCTGTAGATCTTAAAAGGAGGAGACAGCCCATCTTTCTATCATGGAGCAAGTGGTGGGTTTGGACCTCTGACTTTCCTGATCAGCACAACATGCTATGTATGCCATCAGAGGTCTTTTATAGAATAATTTACTAATATAATTAGAGAAAGACATTTTGTGCAGAAGGGTGAAGGAAGGAAGAGGAGAGGAAGACCCCGGATGAGATGGATTGATACAGTGACTGAGGCAATGGGTGGTGTATCAGAATCAGTGAGACTGGCTTACTTAAATTAAGGAAAAGTACAGTCTCAGCTCTGTAGAGTACTAACGGGCAAAGATGTCATTTTAAAGATTAAGGTGCTCCTGATCCAAGCCATGGACTTGTCAATTGCTTGCTAAGCTTCTGAAAGCTGGACAATGACTAAAGACTGCAGAAGGACCTGGTAGTCACTTCCTGGATCTTTGTGTGACTGTAGTGTTAGAAAATCAAGTGAAGACAATCACAGCTTATTTCTGTTTAAAACAAAAAGCTGAATTTTCTGTGCTCTGGTTTGTGAAAGAAATGACGTAAAAGTATAACAAAACTGTGGTGCAATAGATTGATTATTCAAATTGGCTTTCCTAGCCATTGCATTTGACTTTTACCACATGGCTGGATAGGCTGTGCTACTAACGTGAATAAGGTAAGAAGCACTATATGGGTGTAGAATACTGATGAGTGGATTGGTCAGTTTTGCCACCCTACCAGTCATAATTAATCAGGGGTTAGCTTAAAGTTGGCTTTTTAAAAAGCCATAGCAGCTGCCTCTGATCTCCAGCTCCCTTAACTGCAGGAACATGGTTTTGCAAATCAGCATGGTCTTGCAAATCAGCATCAGCTGTGGGATTAGGGTAAGGGAAAACTTGTGCTAGCAAGACTTGTGGGAGACCATGGTGGTGAGACCTGGGTGATGGTGGACAGATTGTGACACTCCTGTGGAGAAACTGTGGCAAGGTATGACCTGAGGCTTCTTGCATTTGTGCTGGCCACAGTTAAAGGGATTTGCTGTTCTTGCCAGATGCTTGAAGGAGACTTATAACTGCTCTGAGATAAATCTTGCTGGATGATTTGGATTTGACTGCTGAACTGAAACCAGAGCCTAGGCTAATTGAGGAATTGTGCCTTGGGATTGCTTGGCTAAAACTTGGATTTGTATTGGGTGGTATTTTTTGCCTTCTTTACTCTCCAACTTTCTTCCCAAATAAATTCCATTGTACCATAGCTGTGAGTCTGTGAGTCAACAACGAATAAATGAACCTCCCGCTGTTGGAGTGGCTCTAGAGACACCATGGGGCTGAGCTACGGGCTCTTTATCTGCTTTCTGTTCTGGGGCAGTGAAGGGCTGTGCTACTCTCACTCCCTCTTGGCCCTTTCAGAGAGATTCTTATGTCCTGTGCCTCTATTTTTCATTTTCTCCTATTTAGACAGCAGGTTTAGAGGCAGAAAAGGAAAATCTATCATCAAGAAAGAACTGGAGAGCACAGCAAGCCCTTTGATCCAGAGGTTGCTGTGCCAAATGGAGACCCAGTTCAGGCGGCCACCACTAGCTGCAGTGGTGGCGGAGATCCAGCAAGTGTCCTAGGAGCTGAATTACAGCTGCTACCCCACAGAGCACAGCTGAGGCCTTCACTCAGGCTCTGGTGGAGTTGGAGTGGAGAAACTGGGCATCATAATTGGCAGTACAATACTTAAAAATGTTTTGTAGTATTGGCCCTTCTGCTTTGGCTTCTCGGGGCTCCAGTGCAATATTCAGAGTCTCTTCTGACATCCATTTTGGTCTTTTCTCCTTCCTCCGTCTTTGCAGTGACCCTTTGCACTCTTCCTGGATGATATTCTTGAGATCCTCCCATAACTCATCTGGTCTTTGCTCATTAGTGTTCAAGGCCTCAAACCTATTCCTGAGATGGTTCTGAAATTCTGGTGGGATAGGTCATATTTTGGTTCCTGTGGGCTTGATTTCACTTTCCTTAGCTTCAGCTTAAACTTGCATGATCTTAAACTTGGTGATCTGTTCCACAATCAGCACCAGGCCTAGTTTTCACAGCTGATATTGAGCTTCTCCAGCGGTTCTTTCCATAGATGTAATCTATCTGATTCCTGTGCATACCATCAGGTGAGAGCCATGTGTATAGCTATGTGTTTATGTTTCTTGTAAAATGTATTTACAGTGAATAAATTTTGATAGTGCAAAATTCAATCATTTTATCTCCAGCTTCATTTCTGTCACCAAGTCCATGCTTTCCAACTACTGATCCTTCTTCTCTGTTCCCAACTTTCACATTCCAGTTACCCATCACTATTAATGCATCTTAGTTGCATGTTCGATCGATCTCTGACTACAAAAGTTGGTAGAAACCATCTATTTCCTCTTTTTTTGGCTCTGGTTGTTGGTGCATATATTTGAATGATAGTGGTATTCACTGGGCCTCCTTGTTACATATGGATATTAATCTGTCACTCACAATATTGTATTTCAAGACAGATCTAGAAATGACTTTTTTAACTATGAAAGCAACTCCATTTTCCCTCACCTTTTCGTCTCCGGCATAATAGATCATATGATCATCTGATTCAAAATGTCCCATGCCAGTCCATCTCATCTCGCCAATACCTAGTATGTCAATATTTATATGTTCCATTTCTTCCTTAACAATATCTAATTTTCCTACATTCATAATTCTCACATTCCATGTTCCAGTCACTAGTGTCTGCTTACAACTGAACAGGAGATTTCAAAAGGCTGCACGACAAGACAAAGTAAAGTATTATAATGAAATGTGCAAAGGGCTGGAGTCAGAAAATCAAAGAGGCAGAACTCAGCATTTCTTAAGCTCAAGGAACTGAAGAGGAAATTCAAGCCTCAAGTTGCAATACTTAGGATGCTTCGGGCAGAATATTGAGTGATCCTGCAAGTATTAAAATAAGATGGAAAGAGTATTCAGAGTC